CCAATCTAAATCTGCTCTTCTCCAGCTTAAAGCCATTGCCCCTCGTCCTGTCACTACAGGCCTTTCTAAACAGGCTCTCCCCAGCCTTCCTGTAGGCCCCCTCAAGTACTGGAAGGCTGCTGTTAGGTCTCCCCAGAGCCTCCTCTTCTCCAGGCTGAACAACCCCAGCTCCCTCAGCCTGTCCTCGTAGCAGAGGTGCTCCATCCCCCTGATCATCCTTGTGGCCCTCCTCTGGACCCTCTCCATCAGGTCCATGTCCTTCTTATATTGAGGGCTCCAGATCTGCACACAGTGCTCCAGGTGGTTATCAGCTTTGGAAAAATCACAGCCTTCCCTATTTGCAGGATTCGGAGCTCCTGCAGCTTTAAACTTAAACCTTGCCTTTGCAGAGCAAATCCAGTATATGAACTAGGAGTGTGAATATTGCTGTATCTCTATAGCTGTTATTAAAGCTCAGCTGCCATCTTTTTCAGGGAAGGAAAGTCCAGGGTGGGTTTGCGACTCACCGTCCCTCCTCCTTTTTACCTTTCATAAGTTGTTAGAACTCTGCAGTAAACCAGTTTAAGTTAGAAGCTCAGCTGCCATCTTTTTCAGGGAAGGAAAGTCCAGGGTGGGTTTGCGACTCACCGTCCCTCCTCCTTTTTACCTTTCATAAGTTGTTAGAACTCTGCAGTAAACCAGAGTTTACAAGGCAGATATTCTGCCTTGGCAGAATATCAAGGGAAAAAAAAAAGGCAGAGCTTTCTTCAGCATTACTGAGCTGAACTAGCCCAGCCAAATCTGACAAACACTGGAGCTAGTGGGAGGATATGGGTGGAAATACACAGCTAAGATTACAGTTTTGAGAAAAGAAGTCTAGAGGGGTGGGCAGCCCATTTTCAGTAGCGGCAAAGTGTTTAATTGTCTCATCTGTTTGTAACTTCATCTTTAAATGCAGATAAATGGAGCCGGCTGTGAACCAAGTCTTGATTCTCAGGGGGCTTTGGGGGCCAATGCTGAGCTCAGTGTTGCTGCAGCCAGACACCAGTTTGGATACTTCTGTTAGGGCCTGAAAAACCTCAAGGTTCTTTAAATTTAGACTATTAAGGCTTATCAGTTGTCATAGCAACTCTGTGTCGTATGGCTTTGTATGATGAAGCTGTAATAAGACCGTTGCTCATCCCTTTGAAATAAGGCATAAATCACTAATGCAGCTTCTCAGTGACAGGACTTCTTTAAGTATTATTCTGACAGAGGAACTGATTTGCATTAAATGGCATGTCTGGCAGCAAGAAGGGACTAATGAATTATAAGAGTGAAACTTTTTACATGTATGCTATAGACATTTTTATTTGTAATCACCCCCTTAAAGTCACCTTCTACCTTGAAATGCATTGGTGTCATTGAAAGCCCCAGGGGAGGTTGTACAAGGAATTACTGAACTCAGATAGGATGTCTGAAGCTCTGGCTTTTGTCACCCCCATGCCCCACGTAGGCTGTGCTGTACTGAAGTTGAGTGCTACTGACATCAAGGCAGATGGAGAACATATGCACAGGTGATTAAGTTGTGGAAATTTTGTTTAATACTTGTTCCTTGTTGACATGATTCTTAGGGGTGTGTAGAACAGTAGCTAAAGTATCTTGCTGTCATTGCTGTGGAGACGATGTAGCTGTGCAAACAGGATACTTAGACTTCTGTAGGGCGCCATTGGTCAAGAAAACGGAGTCACACAAAATCAGCATTACAGACATCTATCAAATGATTAAAAATTAGGTCTCAAAATATAATGCTAAATAAGCAAGGCCTGGTCTATCATGAAGAGGAATGTGTTCTATCAGATCTGTTGATAGCTTATACATCTCCACCCATGGAAGTTTTCAGGGCAAGTTTTACACGAAGCCATAGTGATTTGACATAGCTTTGGGGAAAGTTTGCTTGGAGCAGTAAGTTGGACTGGAAACCTCCAAGGTTTCCTTGCAACCAACATTTCTGTGGTACAGATGGGAAAAAAAAAACAGATAACCTTTGAGTCAAGCAAACCATGCTGTGTGTCTGGGCAAGGAGGAGGATCCAGACAACTTCAGGGTGGTAAGCAGAATTTCTAGGAAAGTGATGGAGCAAGTAATCCTGGAAACAATTTCCAGACACGTGAAAGACAAGATGGCGATCAGGAATAGTCCACATGAAATCAGGAAAATTGTGCTTAATGAACCTGGCAGATTCTACAGTGAGATGGCTAGCTTGGTGGATGAGGGGAGAGTCATGGATGTTGTAAGGCTTTTGACTCTGTCTCCCATTGACATCCCATTGACTGACTCCCATCCTCATTGACAAGATGGCAAAGTACAGGTTAGAAAATTGTAGAGGAAATTGCTTTGAAAACTGGCTGAATGAATGGGGCCTAGAGGGACTAAAGAACAGAAAGCTCAAGAGGGATCTTATTAGTGTGTGTGAATAACTGATGGAGGCAGAGAATGAAGAGAAAGGAGCCAGACTTTTGTCTGGAGTAACATAACAGGAGGCCACAGGCACAAATTGAAACACATTAAATTCCATTTGAACACAAGAAAAGACTTTTCTTTACCGTGAAGGTGGTCAAACACAGGAATAGTTTTCCCAGAAAAGTTGTGGAGCATTGGCAATACTCAAAACCCAACTGTAAACAGTCCTGGACAACCTGCTCCAGCTTGTGAAGTTGAGTGCTACTGACATCAAGGCAGATGGAGAACATATGCACAGGTGATTAAGTTGTGGAAATTTTGTTTAATACTTGTTCCTTGTTGACATGATTCTTAGGGGTGTGTAGAACAGTAGCTAAAGTATCTTGCTGTCATTGCTGTGGAGACGATGTAGCTGTGCAAACAGGATACTTAGACTTCTGTAGGGCGCCATTGGTCAAGAAAACGGAGTCACACAAAATCAGCATTACAGACATCTATCAAATGATTAAAAATTAGGTCTCAAAATATAATGCTAAATAAGCAAGGCCTGGTCTATCATGAAGAGGAATGTGTTCTATCAGATCTGTTGATAGCTTATACATCTCCACCCATGGAAGTTTTCAGGGCAAGTTTTACACGAAGCCATAGTGATTTGACATAGCTTTGGGGAAAGTTTGCTTGGAGCAGTAAGTTGGACTGGAAACCTCCAAGGTTTCCTTGCAACCAACATTTCTGTGGTACAGATGGGAAAAAAAAAACAGATAACCTTTGAGTCAAGCAAACCATGCTGTGTGTCTGGGCAAGGAGGAGGATCCAGACAACTTCAGGGTGGTAAGCAGAATTTCTAGGAAAGTGATGGAGCAAGTAATCCTGGAAACAATTTCCAGACACGTGAAAGACAAGATGGCGATCAGGAATAGTCCACATGAAATCAGGAAAATTGTGCTTAATGAACCTGGCAGATTCTACAGTGAGATGGCTAGCTTGGTGGATGAGGGGAGAGTCATGGATGTTGTAAGGCTTTTGACTCTGTCTCCCATAACATCCTCATTGACAAGATGGCAAAGTACAGGTTAGAAAATTGTAGAGGAAATTGCTTTGAAAACTGGCTGAATGAATGGGGCCTAGAGGGACTAAAGAACAGAAAGCTCAAGAGGGATCTTATTAGTGTGTGTGAATAACTGATGGAGGCAGAGAATGAAGAGAAAGGAGCCAGACTTTTGTCTGGACTAACATAACAGGAGGCCACAGGCACAAATTGAAACACATTAAATTCCATTTGAACACAAGAAAAGACTTTTCTTTACCGTGGAGGTGGTCAAACACAGGAATAGTTTTCCCAGAAAAGTTGTGGAGCATTGGCAATACTCAAAACCCAACTGTAAACAGTCCTGGACAACCTGCTCCAGCTTGTCCTGCTTCAGCAGTGGGGTTGGACAAGATGGTCTCAAGAGATGGGTAGATCACGGTGGTAATTTGGGGCTCCTGAAATTCTGACTGTATACCCTGTTCAAAGCCCCATGGTAGTAACAGGATCTCCAGGTTGACTTGATTTATCCTTACTCCCACAGACTATTACATGGGTGTGGACCATAATAAAAGAACACATGACGCACAGGCAAATAAGAGATGAGGGCAGCTTAGAAGAAAAGTTTGGGTTTGATTTCTAAGCAAACGCCCTTTTTCTGTATATCACTAAACTGCAAGCGAGAAACATAATTTCCTTCACCTCGAGATGAAGGAAAAGAAACAGCATATTGTGTCAATACTGTTGGAAGAACAAGGGTGGGAAGAACGTAACACAGTGTCAATGTTCTGGCAAGCAGAAGTGAATTTTACATTTGGACCCATGAACGTTAGTTTGGGAAGGTCTATGCATTTGCCCAGATTGAGACCAGATGTTGCTCTGCTTAACTTCTGCTTAATGGCATCATTTAGCAATAGAGCTGAAATGGAAAGTTGTCCCAGAAAATATTATGCTTTAATTTTTAGTGCAAAGTGTTAGACCACTTTACCTGGTCTTCTGAATACTTTCAGAAGTTTTTTTTTCTCAATTATCTCCACGTCTTTAGTGGTAAAGGATACCTTCAGTTTTTGATTTCTGCTGCTTCCATATCCTCAATTCATAGTTCAAAGCTTGTTGTCATGTGTTTTGTTGTTGTCTGTTTGATATACAAATGCAGCTGTTTCAGCTTCACATACTTACCTTGCTTGCCTGCCTACACTCATCCCACAAGCAAGCCAGCAACCTAGCTATTTTTTTCTGAGATGCTCTATCGGGGGTGATAATAGCAATTATTGAATTATCAGACAGTTATGGAAGTAAATAGTTTTTGCTTTAATCAGGTCTCATTAGCTAATCACCTTGATTTGTCATGCCACTAAATGTGAAAAATATGCCACGATGATGATAAAGTACCTCTGGTAACTGATGAGCATGACAAGTTACTGTTTATAATGACTTATGCATGCCTTTTTGGACTACCATTTCATATTTGTGCATCAAAAGGGTAGTGCATGTGTGATTTGTGATTAAATTCTGTTGTGCTCTTAACACAGGGGTCCATTTCTGGTTCTAGGGCTGCGTTGTACTGGAAATGTGGTGGTTCATTTGAGTAAATGGAAATGGCTAGACATGAAAGCACAGAACTGAACTGCAAAAGAAGATGTTCTGTTTTCCACATGAGGATTCATGGGTCAGCTCAGGCTTGATTTTGCTGACTGCTGTGCTTCTAAAAGACCACGTTTGATTATTCAGAGGAATGGCTTGGATTGTAGCCCAAACCTGCATGTTCTGGGAGGAAGTAAGATTGATTTTTGGTTGTAGTTGTCATCTCAAAACTAACAGTTTCTCTCTGTTTCACAGTCACACCACAGTTCTCTCCAAGCTTTTGCAAAAAATGCTGTCTTCATGAACACTTATATCCAGTGTTGTGTTCCACTAAAAAATGAGAAAAATATCAAACATACTAAGAAAAGGGAATGGGAAAGGAGTCAGGGAGATTGTATCAGTACCTGCAGAGAGTGGAAAGACATATAAAGAGAACAGCAGAGATCGTAACAATTTTGAGATCATAAAAATCCTTTTCCTTTCCCTTCAACAGTATCTGGACTTTGGAATAATTTTTTGTCTAAAGGACGGGTGCTCTGCTTTAGCAGTCACCTGTGAGCAGTGCCTTTTGCTTCGATAATTTTTTGTCTAAAGGACGGGTGCTCTGTTTTAGCAGTCATCTGTGAGCAGTGATCTGCCTTTTTCTTCATCTCAGCTATGTATAGCAAGTCTTTTTTTACCCTTTTTGTGTCTATCTCCAGAAGCAGCGATATTTTCAGGGAACAGTCTGGTTCGCTGTAGGCATACCACTGCCTTGGATGACTTCAGTCAACATACAGTGCAGAAATACCAATATTTTGGGGAACATCTAGCTGATGATTCATATCCTCATTACTTGAAAACAATATATGAAAAATGAATGTAAAGTCATGTGTTTTTTTCCTTTTACAATGAGGCTGTTAGAAAACAAACATACCGTTACATCAGATCTGTAATCAGTTTTGTTTCTTTAGATACTTTCAAAAAAATATTTGTAAATGCTGTAAATGCTCTAAATTCACACATAATTTTTAGGAAGTTTAGATCTGATCTAAAAGGTTTGTTTTCCCCCCACCTGCCTATGTGCTTTGGGGATTAACATCTGAGATAATCTCTGAGAAATGTTGAAAGGAAATGTTTCTAAAAAAGGCTAAAAACCTCCCAGTTTTCCAGTTGGAACCAGGCTATGAATGCTTAATGCCTATTGAAAAAAAAATAATCAGCTGGCTGTGTTGTATGTTAGAACCAGGCAAGTCCACACACTGCCATAAATTTACACCTCATATGTCAGTCTGAAAATTACCCATAAAATGTGTCCTTTGTGCCACCAACACAACACAGTAAGAGGACCTGAAGTTCTCTTTAATTATTGACCCTTGAAGTTCTGTTCTTTGCAAAATCCTTAGAGATACATTTGTTAAGCAGTGTGTAACAGCAGCAATATATACCTAGCCTCAGTTAGAAAGAAAAAAAAAAGGGTAGGGGGGCATTACAGGTGAATAGATGCTGTAATTCAGATGAAAGGCTAAAATGCAATTAAGGGTTGTCTAGGGAGGAGAGGAACTACCATGAGGGGACTAATGTGGGAGCTGATTGTCTGGGGAGTTACAGCAAAAACAGGGCCAGGCACTTCTCAGAGACAAATAGTAAAAGAACAAGAGCCCACAGTCCCAAGTGATAATAACAGAAATCCCAGTTGAACATAAACTGCTTTCTTGTGAGATTAGCACAACCTTGCAATGGCTGCCCAGAGAGGCTGCAGAATCTGTTCTCTGAAATGTTCAGGACTTGTCTGGACGAGGCCCCCGAGCAATGTAAGTTATCTCTCAATTTAGCCCTACTCTGAGCACTTACACTAAAGACTTCCTGAAGTCTTTTCCATTACAAATTATTCAAAGATTCTACGAGTTTCTATACCAAAAGAACTCCAGCTACCGTTTTGCTGTCTCCTTTGCATTTTGAATGCCTTCTTTTTTCCCCCTCAGCCACCTCAGCCATCCCCTCTGTATATAGCCAGAGTATATAGCCTGTGGCTAATCTATTTTTAGTCAACTGAGAAGGGAGTTCTGAGCCCCTGTCTCCACCTGAACTGTCAGACTGATAGGAGGTAGATCACTGGTGCCTTCCTGCTCCACCACAAGTTCTGCAAAACCCAAACTAAACCAAAACTGTGAAACTTTAATAACATACGGCAAGGGCTAGTTGGTGCTGGGAATAAAAAAATATGTGTAAGAAGCCAGTCATACTGTACTGGTCTGTAGAGAACCTTAAGAACACTGAGTGGCCTTCTTAACACTAGGAAGAGGTTTTTTGGATGCTCCTTTGTGTTTCAAGTGACAGGACAATCCCTGAGAATAGTTCAATAGTTTTGCTTTAAGATTAAAGAATTGACCTCTTTTCTCCAGTTGTTACTCGTCAGGGACGATCTTTTATATCCACACTGTATTTCAGTTTCTTTCTTATGCTCTGTCCTCAGCTCAGGGTCTTCTTTTTCTGTCAGTGGGAAGGAAGAGGCAAGCTTTAAACATATGTCTGTTTCAGACGCCAACAGTCATTTTGCCGTTAATATTTTAATGCAAAGCTTTGAAAATCAGTGGCTTGGGTTCAACCTTGGAAGCCATGGTAGATAGACCCTCTTCTTCAGGCCTTGAGAAGATTAGGCTCAGAATCTGTGGTAGTCACCCACATTTGAGGGATATCTGAGGAAAACCTATCAGTTGACTGCACCTGGCCTGCAAGATCTTTGCATATCTGTTTCACTAATGCTGGCACCATAGATCCTGTGTAGGCTGAACTCATTGATGCTTTCAAATCCTCAGTGGTAGATTACATCTATAACAGCACTGGAAGCCTCTATTTTCTTTTTGGTGGCTGTGAGTTGAAGATACTCAGCATTGCAGCAGGCAACTCTCAGGTCTTTCTGTGGTAGAGAAATGTGATGTGCTTTTGAAGTGAAGAGAAGCTAATTAATAAGCTAATTTCCTGCAGCTGAGTGTGACTGAAGTCTGGTCATCACCCCAGAACTTGTGCTATGAACAGTATCAGGAAGGACTTAATCTTGCCACGCTGAAGTGAATGGGCTCTTGTAGTAAGAAGACCTACATTTTGCTGTCATTAGGTGAACGAGGAGGCAGAAGGGGCAGCACACAGCAGTGCTTAATACCTCTCAAACTGGTTAATGAGCTGATTTGCTCATTAAGTTTTCTTGCCGCTTTTTGCCAGGCAAAAATGACACATTCTTAGTAAAGGCAGGCAAACCCAATTTGCTTTTTTTCTTTTTTTTTTTTTTTTTTTTTGGGGGACTTTTTTTTTTTTTTTAAACAAGTGGGGTTCCTCCCCCCTTTTTTTTTTTTTTTTTTTTTTTTTTTGGGTGACTTTTCTTTTTTTTTTTCAAACAAGGTGGGTTCCTCCCCCCTTCTTTATTAATCTTTTAATATTAAAGATATTAAAGATTCATGCAATGGGCAAGAGCAGTGGATCATTTGAAGTGCTGACAAAGGGTAAGTTAGACAAAAAGAGCAAGAGTCTCTCCTCTTTCAGTTACAGTCAGCTCAGTGATTGCTGGTAAAGGAAAAGATGAAAACATTGTTTGAGTATCTGTATAAATGGAGGGGGCTGAGAAAAAAAGTCTGGTAACATTCCTTGCCTTAAAGTCCTAGAATCAGAGAAGTGTTAGTAGAATGACAGCACTATTTGACAGATAAAATTCTAGCCATTTTGTGAGGCAAGTTGTTAAATAAAAGTGTTTTATAACAACAGTGATGAACTACACTGCAAACAGTCTCTTTCACTGCTGAATTACAGTTTAATTTCATTCTACAAAGACACCATGTGATACACTTCCTAGACCATAATCTTTAGACCATAAGAAAATGGAGGCACTGTACATTTTTTGTGAAGGGAAAAATAATAGAAATAGGTTTCTGGAAAGGGAAAAGTTGACAAATACTGGCAAAACACATCTTCAAGTATGCTTTATTTGCAGGTAATTAAAAAGATTTTTTAGGCAAAAAACTAGCCGATTTCATCCAGTACATGATGGGACATGATTTAGTGCTGAATGCTGGACAGACTGGAAAATGAGTAGATAGGACCATAGATAGATAGGCAGGTAGATAGGATGTAGTTTTTGATGAATTACATGTGATTAAATGGTAAACATTCGTCTAGTAAAAAGACTTGATACATATGTATGAAGAATTTTAAGCAGTTAATATTTTAACTATATGCAGGAGATATTGTAAGAAAAACAAGGGGTGTAAAAGGAAGTAAGAATAAGAGAAGCTACAGTAATATCAGAAGCCATAGACATGTTTTTTAAAGACATCAGCTTGTGCCTGCAAGTCACTGTACTCTTGAGAATAGTATTTGCAATTTAAAACCTATCTATCTAAAACATCACCAAAAGGAAACACTAATTCCTATTTTTTGAAAATTATTTTGTATGAAGAATCTTGCAAAGAACTGAAATATGGCAAGGCCAAGAAACATGAATTACCCACCATTTCCGAGACTTTGCATTCATCACATTTAAGTACTAGGTGTCTGATTTCAGATAAAAGGAAGTAAGAATAAGAGAAGCTACAGACATTGTAGTAATATCAGAAGCCATAGACATGTTTTTTAAAGACATCAGCTTGTGCCTGCAAGTCACTGTACTCTTGAGAATAGTATTTGCAATTTAAAACCTATCTATCTAAAACATCACCAAAAGGAAACACTAATTCCTATTTTTTGAAAATTATTTTGTATGAAGAATCTTGCAAAGAACTGAAATATGGCAAGGCCAAGAAACATGAATTACCCACCATTTCCGAGACTTTGCATTCATCACATTTAAGTACTAGGTGTCTGATTTCAGAAGGTCTCATGCAAAATCCAGCTATAAAAATTCACCACAGAATATTTTCAAGGATAAAAAGCTAGTGTTTTTTAAAGCTCTAACAGACATCCAGTTGTGAAGGTGAATTTTAAAATTAATGGTCCACATTTTCCAGAGGACATTCAAAAGAGAGTTGCCAAACTTCCTGTAAATGCCCAGCTCTTATCTACACTTTGCATGGAATATTTACCAAAGCTACACTTTGGACAGTTAATGGAATATATCGCTGCCTAGAGTAGTGCCATCACTGTCTTTCCATAATGGCATAATGAGAATTAAATAATCACAAAACAAATTCCTAATATGAAATAACTTTTTTTCCCCTCATATAGAATATATATATTCATTTATATTGAGTATAAGTCCAGTAATACTATCACAGTAATGTGCTGTAGTGGTCTTTCATAGTAAGAAAACTGCCTTAATCTTCTTTAACATGCAAAGCTTGGAAGAACCAGAAATTCACAGTAAGTAGTACAATTTGTATATGCATCTTCTGCCATCCTAAAGTTAACCAGAACACTCAAGACTGGTGCTTATTTTTCCTATATGTTTGACAAAAGCTACAGTTCTGTATACTGTACATTCACAGTGGGATATCAGCCCCCTTGTATTATCTGCAAGAAGGATCAGATTACCACTTTCCATCAGAGTAAGCATTCTAGTAGTATTTAACATAATAATCTTGTGAACAGTTGTTCCTAGCTTGAAGTTCAGCAGTTCAGGACTTGATGTAATTCTCCTTTTCATCTCTCTGAAGGGCTTCCTGCTAGCGCATTTTGTAGTCATTAGATACTGACATTTCACATAGCTGTCCTTTAAAATCCAAGTCTACAGTGAAATCCAGGTCACGCTGTAAAAAGATTTAAATGGAACATGTAAGTGAGACCGTAAGTTTAGTTTATGAATTCAGTTATCATTGCTCGGGTTGAAAAGAGCTGCAGATTCAAGAAATACCTACTGTGTTTTCTAACTTATTTTGGTTTTAAATGTTACTCACACTGAAAAAGCAAGACATAGGACGTGTAATAGCATTCACCATACAATTTCTGTCTAGGGCATATTTGTGTGTTCTTCTTAAGGCTGATTTAGTGTCCTGGTTACAACTTGGAAGCTTCTGAAATGCTGTGCTATCATGCGTATTCTATAATAATCTTTTTAGGGTATCTCCCATTGAGATGCTCTTAATCTAGGGTAAGGGGCTTTCACAGTAGGAGTTCTTCCAGAAGAAATCTAGTAAACTTCCCATTGCAGAGAAGCTCTCAGTCAATTTTTGTCTTCTAATGACATGTTTTTTGGAAAGAGGCACTGCATAGCTCAACAAAACAAAGCTTTTGAAAGCTTGTAGAGCTTTCAGAAGAACAAAGCACTGACGAATCCTTTTGAACCAAGGTGGTCTCTCTGTCTCATCATAGCGATCAAGAACACAGTGATTTTAGCACCTAAATCTGCATTCAGGTGCTTACTGCTGTGCAAATAAATTTGAAATATTTTATTCATTTTTCCCTCAAAAGAAAATTGGTACATTCAGCCCCAAAGAAAATGTTCCAGTCCCCCAAGGACAACATAAAGGTGGCAAACAGACTGTTTTCCTCTGCTTTCACAGCAAGTGGTCGTTTCAAGAGTGAATGTGTTTGTTTTGATACCAAGTTTATTTTGTTTTTCTTTCTTCCCCTGTGTCAACACTACTGTGAAAACCATATTCAATCTCTGTTTGGTACAAAAAAAGGAAAAGTAATGCCAAAAAAAGAGGAAGGCAAGGAAATGTTGAGTATTTCAATAATTACAACAGCTGCATGGATTATAACCTGGATTATAGCCAGGTTATTTTAATGGCTGTGTGTTGTAATAGGAAATGAAGAGATTCTTCTCAAGGTTTTTGGCAGAAAATGGTGCCACACTTTCTCCCAGAAGCCATACTTCTCATGTTTTTTGCTCTTCTACGCAGGCATGGGTTGTCCATCAGACCATGTCTCGTAGTCTCCTTACAAGTTAAAAAAAGCACTGAATAACTGACATACTTGGTGAGGATTCAGCCCATAGCAGAGAAATTGGGGAAGTTTTCACCAGTCATGATAGTGTGATATCTGCCCGTCATGATTTAGTCTTAAATAAAACACCTGTATTTTCTGTGGAAAGTCACAATTTTTAAAGAACCATATCCCTTGATTAGTGAGTTCAAGTACTTTTGATCATCCTGTGTTGGCAGAAGGGATCTTACCACTGATTTTAGTGAGGGTATGAAGAGACCCTTTCCTGCTTGTGTCCCAAAATTTGAACCAAGCTGATTGCAGAGGGCAGCTGACTTGGTGATGTACTTGAATCATTTCTTCCTTGCCATGCTACCTTATTTGCAGCTGAGTCCTGTAACTTTAGCACTGCATTATCATTGCTGTCACCAGCTTTGGTGAAGCTGTTACTAAAAATATGAATTTAGAGCCTTCAGCATGCTCATTGTTTGATTTGTATGCATTTTATTTACTGCTGATGATGGTTTGTGATCAATAGAGTTGCAGTTAGAATCAGTGATGCTGACTCACCACATTTTTTGCATTTGGTTTCATGGATATAGTCCCATAGATTTCTTCTCCTCGTCTCACGGTTAAATAGTCCTCTAAGTAGAAGACAGTTTGCTTCCAGTGAGTATAGGGAGCATCAGGTGCTAAAAAAACATACATGGGTATTATTTATAGAAATTTCATCTTTTTCTTACAAATCAAATTAAGACTTGGGAACAATTGAAAATAGCCTTTCTTCTCATAAAATGCTTTAACTCATATGCTCTACTAGCAAACATGTTTTACAACAACACAATTCTATTGACTGTCAGTGAGTTATCTTCTGATTTTTGCTGGAATATGTCAGATGTGACTCATACCCAGCAAGAAGGATTCCACAAAAGGGGCTACTGGGCGTGACAGGAACTTTTTTGATGCTTTCCTTTCAACCCACACACATTCAAATCGGGCAGATCTTTACCACTAAATGCTTTAAAAGTCAGAAGTCTAAATCAGTTCAAAAAACGATTACACAAAACCATGAAAGAAAGGTTCATCAAAAGCTATTGATTACAATAACACATATAAAAACTTTGACTCATGATCCCGGAACAGCAGATTTTATAGTTTCCAGGAGGATTCAGCTGGGGAAAGGGCACTCGCACCTTGACCTGATTTTGCACTTTTTAAAGGCATATGCTATGGGAAATTTGCCAGAGATGAATACTGGTCTAAATTAATTTAGCAGAATCACTTTGATGACCTTCTGCTATTTCAGGGTTTCATTTCACTTATTTGTTTTTATTTCTGATTTAAATTCAAATCTTGAGCAGTGCACGATGAACTTGCATTGGTTACTTCTTGTTCCTAGCATCCTTGCAGTTAAGAGCATCTGAAACCCAAGAATAGCTGAGCAATTTCAGAGACTTCCTGATGTGGCAAAAAAGCTCTGATAAATTTATTTTTCTTCCATTTGTTTCCCCTATCACTTTTTTGATGCAGACATAGGCCCACTGTGTTGAATCATGCTAATAATATCTTAATGCTATTTAATAAAACAATTATCTCGTTTGAACACCAATCTTTCAAAAAATATTTGGCTTTAGAAATTGTTTGTGACTGGGGAAATAAGCTTTTTTAAAAACTGTCAGGACAGGAATTTTTAACAGCTCTTTTTTTTCCCCAAAATTCTAGAATCAGAAGACTGATATAAACAAACTTTTGTTAGAAACTGTGTTGGCAAACTGGTATCTGCCAAAAAAAAAAGTGTTTTACCGGTAAATTTCTGACTATGTGTTTGGACAGTTTTAATAACTGTTAATCTCAATTGCTAAATGGAGAGATCTTCTTTCAGCAGCTCAGATCCAGACTCCGTTTTCCGTTTGGATGTGTCTTTCTAAAATTTCTAACTGAAAACTTGTTAGGCCAAATTAATTGAACTTATATTTTAAATCCTGACTGCTCTCTTGTACATGCAGATGTACATGTGCACGTGCCCTTACGCAGAGCTGTCCTCCTTAGAAAAGCCTGACATATCTGGAAACTTGTGCTCCATGAACAAGGTGTATGCGTGTGGAATGTAGGCACAGGTCTTCAAGTCCACTCCAAGTCATACACTTACTTTCTTCATAGTTAAAAAAAAAATGGCATATCAGTGAAGTATCACTTCCTAATGTCCTACAAACTTGGATGTGTTACTGAATTCAGTAGAGCTTTGCCAACAGACACTAGCTGAGAATCCAGACCAGTCTTCTAGACGGTTACAGAAGGCCAAATGACCTTTTTATGGAGTAAGTTGTTCCACACCTACCTTGTCATGATGGGCTGAATAGAGATTGAGAACCACTTCCCTCAGCCTCCTGTCTATGTTTGTCTAATGCACGTCAGGATGATTATCCAGATTTGCTGCAAAGGTATATTTCTGACTCATGTTCAGTTTGTTGCTCACCAGCATCCAACAACTTTTCTAACAAAGCTGATTTACACCCAGTTGGCCCAAGAAATAGCATAGAGCTGTTTGGTTCCAGCTACAGGACTTTGCATTTGGCTTTGCTGAGATTTATAATGTTCTTGTCAGCCCATTTTGAACCTGTGTAGGTCTCTCTAAACAGCAGTTTGGGATCATTAACAAATTTGCACTGATCATTAACACAGTGCGCTCTGCCCCGTGGTCCACATTGTTAACAAAGATGTGGAACGGTACTAAACTCAATGTTGCTCACCTGTTGGATGCTACTAATAACTGGCCTCTGGTTTGGCTTTGCTGTTTGACACATTTGAGCCAATTTTTCACCTATGTTATTGTTCACTTATCCAGTCTGTATCTCACCAATATGCTATGCAAGGCTCTATAAAAAGGCCTTGCTGAAGTCAAGCTATACAACAGCCACTTCCCTCATCCACACAGCTGGTCATCGAGAAGGCAATCAGGCTGGTCAGCTATAATTGCCTTCAGGAAATCCACAGTAGCTGCTCTCAATCATCTTGTCCTTCATATAGCTGGAAATTGTTTCCAGGTGGATTCGTGTCATAGCTTTTCCAAGAACTGAGGTGAGGTTGACTGGCCCATAGTCATAGTCAATGTGCGCTGCTTACTGTGCTTCTTGAAGATGGGTGTGATAGCTGCCCTACCCCACTCCCTTTCCCCCATCACCGTGACCTTTTAATGATATTAGAGGGCAGCTTTCTAATGACATTGACCAGCACCCTCAGCATGCTTGGATGCCTGCTGACTGGTCCTATGGACTTGTTTGAGGTTCTGTAGTCCTGATGGCATACCTTGAGGCACAACTCATATGCTACAAGTTTCATGGTATGAAGAAACTACTTCTCCAACGGCTGCAAGGCACTTCTCCCATTACTTTGGGTACTTTGAATAGCAGTTAACCCCTCCACATAAGTACTACTTGTCTTAGTGCAGTTAGAGGGTCATCTCATGGGACCCAGAGACCAGAAACCCTGGACCAAGTACCATGCAGAGGAGTCACAATCAATTGGTTTGCCAGGCTTAAGAGTGGTCTCTATTATCTGCTGTAATTGGTGATATGGCTGTAGCATCATTTAGAATTGGGAGTGTATGACTAAGCATTCAGAACCTCTGAAGTAGCAGCTTGTGGGAGCTGCAGAGAGTTTAGAGAAGCTAGGTTTTCAGGCACTGATGATGAACCCCCATTTTTATAGAAGTTCAGAAATATTGGAGATTGTGACTCCTCTCTTTTTTTTTTTTTTTTTGTCACAGGTAGGCACAAAATACCTTGTGCATACATTTTTCGAGTTGAGGTGGGTCTGCAAAAAAGCTGTCTGTAAGAAAAACACTATGCCAAACTTGATATCTGCCCTAGGCTTTTGTCCAGATGTAGCCTCTTGCAGATGAAGCCACATTCTGAATGATACAAAAAGCCTTTCATGTCGTCCTGGCAATATATGTACTAAGGTAGGTTTCAGTTAACATCACAACACAGTAACTACACCCTTTATGCAAAGCTATTTTTACAGAAAACTGGAGGTTTGACTATATTATCTTTTAGAAAATACTGGTGGGCTGCCTTCTGTTGAAAAAAATCAGCCTTCTGTGGAAAAACCAAATGCTTAAAACCGAAAGTGTTTTCCACCTTAGATAATTTTGTTCAGCACAAAGTCAGAAATACCAGCACTTTGGGATACCACTGCAGTGCCTCAAAGCTTGTTCATGTCTCCCTAGCTGTGCTGTGTTCCCCAGCACATACTGATGCCTGTCATGGTGTGGGAAATACAATACTTTTACAACACATTTATAGAATAGACCACGGAAATATGGTTACTGAAAAACGTAAGAATACGAGGTACCAAATAACATCATCCATATGATTATACGTCTAGAATCAAATGTAAATATTTTAACAAAGTACTGAGCTTTGAATCTCCTGTAGAGTGCTGAGAGCTCCTGTGAAGTATTAAAAAAGAGATTTCTAATCATGTTCAACTTCTATCATGTCCTGTTTACACCCATTTGAGTTGTGTAATGGTGCTAACTGCAATCAGCACCAACTGTAATATGTTGTTCTTGTCGTCAAAGCAGTCATGAGGTTTTTCTATTTCTTGCAACACTGTGTGGTTTATTCACTCTGGTAAACAATGCCCTAAGGGAATGGAGTTATTCCTTTAAATATCTGGTCACCAGGGTAAGTTAGTGTTTCACATTTGGGTTGTTAGAACTGATTTACATAAGCAGTGTGTGTGTGGTTATATCTTCAAAAAAAAAAAATGACAGTTTTGTTCTAGACTCTGAGATGAGCAAGAGCTTTTGTTGAGTTTTGGATTTGGGGGAAAGTAGGATGCAGAGCTGCTATCTCTCTGAGCTGACAATTGTCTGTTTAATCTGAGAAACTTGACACAGGATTTAGATATGATGGGCATAAAGTCCTGGGTCATAACTCCCACTGACCTCTAAGATCTGTAGCTGTTGTGAAATACTGCCTGTTTTTGGAGAATTCCTATGAGCAGTTGTCCTTTCCCCATCCTGCTCACCATCCCAAACTGATAGTTTTTACCACTGAAATTCAAACCTGATGGTACAGCAAACCTTTGTGTGCCATCTGACCATCAGCATTGATATACTGCTGGCAATGTAAATGAAATGAAAAGAAATACGAATTACCTGTAGAAAATCCCATCTTCTTGTGGCACTTTGTAAATTCAATATTAAAATAGGTGACCAAGGCATGAATATAATCATTACGCTGAATTTGGAGGCAGAATGCAGAAGTAAATGCCAATTCTTCAGTCTTCACTGTATAGATATCTACTTCCTGTTTTGAGATTCTTCAGTCTTCACTGTATAGATATCTACCTCCTGTTTTGAGGAGAAAGAAGAGTCCATTTACATGCAGGTGTCTGGGAATCCAAGGTAAACTGTCAAGTGAGGCACTTAAGCATTTTATTTAATGATCAGCAACAAAGACAACTGACAGCCCTTTAACACTGTAAAAAATCAACGGTACATTTGACTATGTCAAATCAGCACATCATCCAGTTACCCGACTAAGATGACAGTGTAATAAGAAAGGCTACTCACAGAAGAGCATGTGTCCTTGGGAATGGCAGGGAGGGGCTGCGGGAGCTGGAGGAAATCAAGGCAAATTGTGTTTTGACAAATATAGGCACAATGGATGTTGAAATGGAGATAATAGGTCCCAGTTCTAAGAGCTGTCGTCGTCGGGGGTTGCCAGCGTGAGGGAAGATGGCAGAGTAGGGTTTTTAATAAAAATGAGCTTCTGATCTGTTTGAGCCTCTCAGGAAGGGAATGTGCTTTGACCGTGTCAAGCAGCCAAAACATTTGAGGCACGACAGGGGCCTGCTTTTTACTGATAATGCTTTCTGGTCCTGATAAGTGATAGCAAATAGTAAGCACAGGGATCTTACTCTTGAACTAGACAGAAGGAAATAATGGAAATTGTACTATGGCTTGATTGCAGTAGTTGGGAGCAACGATGTAGTCTCCAAGATTACTTTTTTCCCTCAATATTTAAATCTCACTGTTCAAAGCTTAATCTGAGATTTTTAGACAGATCTTATTTTCCCAACTAGGTATGGCTTTTATCTGGGTTGTTTCCAAAATTCATAGTTACGATAGGGAGAATACTAGGTCTGAAATACTATTAATTGTATTCTGATGCTATGGGAAATGTTTCCTGTCAGTGAACTTTCTGATATCCTCCTAAGTGGATCTGGCTTCAGTGTCCTTATTGTCCTTGTCAGGGAATATTTGGCAAAAGCCAGATACCCCCAAAATATTTTTCTCTCTATTATTTGGAAAGTCAGTATTAACAACAAAACTGCTCATGCATACAGAAAAATAGAAGCTTAGTAAGCAGAAATCCACATTTCCTCTTCTCTACCAACATACCACATGGTCATGTAAAGCTGGGATAGTCTTTATTTTATTTTTTTCTCTCAAAAGAAGATAAAAAAGCATACTAGGAATAAGAATTTCTGAAGTCTCCTGGTAGATTTCCATAGCAGCCCGCGAAATTTGCTTTGACGAGCTAGACTGGACTGGTGGATGATAGCTGCATATTTCTGTAATTTTTGGTGGCTTTTAAGTGATACCACTGTGGGGAAATTGCGATTAAAGTCTGATGATGAGGCACACAAAAGAGATCTGGCTCCCTCTCTCTGAGCTGTATTGGCTCTTCAGGGTAAAGTGGAACCAAAAGCAGTAGAAAATATTTTTTTTAGAGAAGTTAGTGAAAATATTTCAGAAATACTGAACATATGTGCTGGATGAAATAGTGGTCAGTTTTGCAGTCGTTTTTTAAGGACAGAAACATGTTTGGTTTTTTTTTTACTATGCAAGATATGAGACAAATGTGGATTTTTTTATTAATTAACATAGTTTTGAAACTGGCCTGACCCTGTTTTGGTGAACTGTACTTTGGCTACTATATGTTCTTATATTAAATGTCACTGCTCATTGAATGTTAATTACAGCTAACGGCACAGGGGACAAATGTTTGCATGAAATAAGTGGAAAAGTCATGATTTACCAGATTTCATTCAGATTTGAAAACCACCACCAAAATGTGCACAGTAAGCAGGGATCTGATCAAAATACAGCTCATTTATACTAAAAAAAAATGGAGAGCATGAGCATGGAGATCAGTTAAAGATTCAAATCTCAGTGAATGTCTGGTTTTCATTCGTTTTTTTTGTTTGCTTGTTGGTTTTTATTTTCAGATTTTGGGGTTGGGTTTTTTCCCTCCTTTCTCTCTCCCGTTGTACCAACTGCCTTGGTTTGGACAAAGAGGGAACAACACAGGATGGAATGGTGAAGGCAGCGCTTGATCAAAGCAGGTAAAGGTGCTGAACTGATGCAAGAAGCTGGGGGAGAGGTGGCATTGGTACAAGCAGTATCACCAGCTTCAGGAAAAAGTTTGATCTGAAGGCTGAGAAGTAAAATTAATTGCCAGCGAAAGGAAAAAGGGTCAAGCCCCCTTTTCTAACAAACATTCAGAAAATTAGCTATATTGTCAGTTGCACACATGCATTCAGCTGTGAGGGAAGAACTGAATGCAAACACACTTTTCCAAAAGATTTTTTTAATTTTTTCTATATTGTCAGTTGCACACATGCATTCAGCCGTGAGGGAAGCGCTGAATGCAATAGTCAGCCCTGCAAACACACTTTTCCAAAAGATTATTTTATTTTTATAAGAATGCAGAAAGCAAACAGTATTAATGTGGGGAGAGAAGAAAAAAAAAACCATTAAATTCTGGGTGTTTTGGAGGAGCAGTGAACAGAAGAATAGAGTATCTGAGATCATTTTGACTAGATTTTGCAGTGTATGTTGGCTTTTTTATTAACAGGGAAGGAAGCGTAGCTATGAGAGGCCTCAGTACTCCTGTCAGGGCCCCTCTTCTGCCATCTTTTCCTGTTTGCACAGAAGGAAATGCCTGAAAATTACTAGGGTGTTGTTTGGGTTTGGGGTTTTTTGGGGGGAAGATGGGAACAGACAGAGTTAAATCTGAGGACGCTGAAAGGAAAGATTGTGGACCGTGAGGAGAACTGCTGGAAAGGAAAGAGTGACAGGGAAAGTCACTTAGGAAAGGGAAGGGAAATTTCCATGTAGAGAAAAGAGTAGAGAAGAAAAATGAGAAAAAAAGAGCAGTGTTTAAAGAAAGATGGAAATTGAGTGGCGCAGGTGTCTCTTGCTTTGCTTTACAAGCTGGGAGAAAGGAATGTGATTGGGGAGTTCACTGAAATTGCAGTGGAGCAAGAGAAAAGACTCATGAGGAATGCCTTGTCCTAAACCTTATGGGTCAAGATTACTATGGGAGAAGAACATGGGACTCGCAGACAAATGCCTCCCCTGTGTGGCTGTATCTCTCTGAGAAAAAGTACTTTTTTGCAGAAAATACTGCAGGTCCTATGAAATAAGGTTTTATACGGGTGAATCGTGATATTTCCAAACAGTGGAAATTTCTCAAAGGACTAGATATTTGAGCATATAGGTCAATGTTTTTCTGCTATTATGCTTTGTTATCTGATAAATGAGCATGTTGCATGGGGGCTTTTTTGTGCAGGGAGGGCAGTTTGTGCTTTAAGTAGCATAAAACTATGTAATCTTAAAGTGGTGTGTGACCTGCAGGAGCTTGAAACTGTTTCTGGAAAGTGTGGGACAAATGGGAGCATAAAAATAGATTTTTATTTTTATTTTTTTTTGTTCTTTCTCTGTGGCTAGATGAGGGAAGATATTCAGGAAAGTCCAACTGTATTTTTTATTATAAATGGCATGTGGCATGTTTTACATACTTGTTTGGTTTTGTGAGTTTTTGCCACTCTCTCATTGTAGGTTTTTTTAACATGGAGAAAAAGTTCTGGGTCATCCCAAACCCATTTGTGTTTCTCTAATGAGAAACTCCACTGATTTTGAAAGAAACTTTTCCATTTTTCTTCAGTCACTGTTACTGAAAGCAGCAGGCTGTCCGAAGGACACCTGTACGTTTTTCCTGGTGGTTTGAAGATGCTTTGGTCCCACTGTCCCTGGCGTATTTGGTTTGGAATTTAAACCAAGGACTCCTATTTGCCAGGAAAATGCCTATGCCCCTAGGACATATTTAAGAGATCATTCAAAGGGGAATTTCTTCCACAACAGAGAAGATGCTCCATTCCCTGCATTCAACCACCCCAGGGCAGATGTGGCTTAGTGGCTAGGGCTCCTTGAAGGGTTCAAGACTTGGGTTACAAGAAGAGTACAAATGAGGAAATTTTACTCAAGTCTCTAGTATTCTAGCTAAGTGTCATGGTTACACAGAATGCAGGGGTTGATGTCTTTTTTTGCTGAGAAATAACTGCAGAAGCACAGGGCTCTGGCTGCTGTGTCAGGAATGCATCTAGTGACTAGTCCATCTACCGACTACTGTGCAGGAAACCCAGACTCATCTGGTAGGCACCTTAAGTTAGCTGGCTTTGGGTTGAATTCACCACTAAAAAGTCATTTTGTGAATCTCACATCAATAAGCTGTGCCATCTTGAAATGACAAAACATTTGAATAATTAAACATTATTGTTTTTTTATTCTAAAATGTTTTCTTAGGCTAATGTTATTCTCTGGATTCACAAATATTTTCAGGATCAAAGAAATGCACTTTATATAAATAAGCCATGTGCAAAAGTAAATTAAATTAACAAAAGGAATGTAGCCTCAGTTTTTCCTGCTTCCATATTGCTAGCTTGAACAAAAGCCTTTCGTTGCCAATTTTACCTTTTTTCAGTGATAAATTTGTGAGATTAGGGACAGATTCTGGAACTGAGGGTGGTTTCTGCTTGTTGTAGTTATTACCTGTTTTGCTCCCAAGGTGCATTACATGGCAAAGCACCACTCAGTGTATGGAGAAAAGATGTCAGGCCATATAGAATTAAATATAAAACCCGAATAGGAAGAGTTTGAAAATAATTTAGTACAAGAAAACAGAAAATTTATTTCAAAGACCTTAGAAGAAAGCATTAGATTTGCACTTCATTTGAGGGTGTGCAGCTTTTGTAACTTTTTATTCCAGAGAAGCCAACACGTTTTGCTACCTCATCTCTCAGTCTCCAGACATATTTTATGTAGTCTAAACAGCTGTTTATTTTGTGTGTGTTACGATTTGAAATTGCTCTGGCTCAGGCTGTTTTCAGGCACAGCCATCTTGTGTTCCCCTCAGTGCAGATGAACTGTGCCTGCATACATACTCGCACACAATTTCTATTTCTGTTCCTTTCTGCAGCTTTCAGGAAAGGTTCTGCAGACTAAAGGTATGTCTTTCCTTTTTTGCATATGGCAATACTTACGAATAGGAAGAGTTTGAAAATAATTTAGTACAAGAAAACAGAAAATTTATTTCAAAGACCTTAGAAGAAAGCATTAGATTTGCACTTCATTTGAGGGTGTGCAGCTTTTGTAACTTTTTATTCCAGAGAAGCCAACACGTTTTGCTACCTCATCTCTCAGTCTCCAGACATATTTTATGTAGTCTAAACAGCTGTTTATTTTGTGTGTGTTACGATTTGAAATTGCTCTGGCTCAGGCTGTTTTCAGGCACAGCCATCTTGTGTTCCCCTCAGTGCAGATGAACTGTGCCTGCATACATACTCGCACACAATTTCTATTTCTGTTCCTTTCTGCAGCTTTCAGGAAAGGTTCTGCAGACTAAAGGTATGTCTTTCCTTTTTTGCATATGGCAATACTTAATGCTGTGTTTGTTACTGGCAAAAAAAAAGTGAAAGGGAAAAATTAGAACTGAGTCTTTGGGATAAATGAACACGCTGTTGGATTCATGGACCTGATCACTGCTATTGATGCGGACAGCCTTCTCCATGAGAGAGTACCACATGAGAAGGATTCTGTCACATCAAAGGAATTTTAGAGCTTCATGTGTTCCTGAAGGCTATGGATTCTTAACCTGGTCTTGTGAACAGGGAGTAGTGACCATTCTGTCTTATATGTAGAAGAGAGTTCAAGCTAACCTCTGGCTGCAGGTGGTGGGGCTGTGAGAGCACAGTAACATTCTGGATAAGGCTAAGAATTAGGAAGTTATACAAATAAATCAGATGCCAATTCTGATCTCATGCTCTGGATTTCTTCAGAGCTGACCAATTAAAAAACTGATGCTTCCGTCTTTTTTACTGCAAACAGAATTAATTTACCTCTTGTCCTCAGCAGCATTCCATCAGGAATTTCCAACCTCTATTTACAAGGAGGTAGTATGAATTAAAATTCGTATCTAAATATACCACATCTTATTTATCCAGTATTTGCACATGTATAATTTGTAAGTATCTTAAGTTGCAGTTAGCAGTAGCTAGATGCGTACAGAGTCACAAAGACTGTCTTGTTTTGGGAATTCCATAAGTGATCAAAGTATAAATGGTCATGCTTAGCTCAGTTGACAGTATTGGGCAAGTGCAACATACTAGTACTGACTAATTTAAAACTGCACAATTTTCCTTCTTAGTGTGATAGCATTCTGTGATGATGGCTTCTGCAGCTATTTAGAACCATACAAAGATAGTAGTAAAACATAAGCAGCAGGTCTCTAAAGAATCCTACAGGTAGGTGTAAACATTCATAATTAGGTACATTTGGAATTACCAAACCTTTATTAAACAGGCATTGGTCACCACTTGCTTTGGATCTACTATGTCCACCAAAGGCTCCTTCATGGCAACATCCCTAATACAGGTCATGTCAAAGCCGTACACATTCTCCCACCCTGTCAATGCAAATGGATGTGTCAAAGATTAGCAGTAATAATAAAATTTTTTGTTTCTCAAATTATCTTTCATTTGAAAGAATTTCTAGCATCCCTTAACTTTCAGCTCTCCCCTTCAGCTGTTTGCTCCCTGCCCCAGTTGTCTATGTCATCATTGCTATTTTACAGAATGCAGTTGTGGCAAAATAACCCCTCAATGTCTATCTTTGAACAAGTGGCTCTTGTTTTTTGGTACCCCCAAAACTGTGTTAAATGGGATTTGTTGATGATTTTCATGGCTTTAGACATTTGAGAGTGTTGCTTAAAATCATATAATATGTCAGGTTGAGACTTGAGAATAGCTGCTAAGACTATTCTATCCTTTCCTACCCATTCTGGTTAATATTTCTTTTTCTTAATCAGCATGCTCTTTAATTATTCAAGTAGTCTTCATTTCAGCAAGTGCAGTACTGACAGGAGTAGAATTACAGGTGTGTTTCAATGTTTGGGACATCCAAATTTGAATCTGCATGTATAGCATGACAAAAAAGCAAAATGTCCACTTTCTAAAAGATTTAAAAGCCATGCTGATCTTCTATATTTGAACTGTTCTTCTGATTGTTCTGATAAATGCTACTTGTCTTGCCAAGGTTTTTTTTCCTTTTTTTCCTTTTTTTCCTTTTTTTTCTTGAACAAGTAATATCCCCGGGAAGAGTACACTGGCTTTGCTTTTCAGATTGCTTAACAAAATGAAAACAAAGACCTCCAAAAAAAGTGAAATCTTAGTCTTATGAATCTTATGAATCATACCAGTCAAGGTCTATTTGGTGCTCAATTTAAAAGTCTAAACTGAATACTGTGAACTTCTTAAAAGCATGTTTGAACACAAGCAAGGTAAACCAATAAATAGTAATAGTGAGCATTTTTGAAATGTCTTGTTTTTTTCAGAGCACAGCATTTGAGCTATTCGTATTCCCACAGGACTATGATTGAAAATGCAGCATGAGCAGAAAATGTGCATATTTCTAAATTGTAACAAATCTAGACATGAACAGTTCTTTGATACGTTATCCCTTTATTGGGCGGTGAGTCTCTCAATATTTCAGGGGAGCTGATGGTCAAAACTTTCATTTCAGGCACCATGATCATGTGGGAACTTCAAATTATACTTACAGAAGCCATATGTTTTTATGTGATTACTCAGCAAAGATTAACTATGAAACCCTAGGAACAATTTAGTAACAGTTGTTATCTTGGGGCCCCCATCACTTGATGTACTTCAACCTATGTGGAACGCCTTTGAAATACATGCCACAGTCTGTATTAGATAAAGACAACATTATATGTTTTACCTATGTTTTCATTGACTCTAGTAATATTCTGTGGCATTAATAAAGTTTGAGAAATCAGAAGTCAGATTTTTTTTAGAAACCTCATATTGCATTATTTCTTAATCAAAATGATGGTTCTTGAGTGCCCTTTGAAATGCTCAGCCCTGCATCTTGCATGAAGGCAAGACTCTATCCACCTTAAGAGAGAAAAAAGAAAGATGAAAATTCAAAATGTAAGGAAACATCATCAAAGATTTATAAACTGAAAAGAGAGACAAGATGGTGGTGCAGATAGGTGGTGAGATGCAAATAGCTGAAGAAGACACAGAGGATACAAAAAGTGAGGGGACAAGGGAAATCAGAAGGGAAATCAGAAAAGAAAGTGTCTTAAAGGAAACCAACACTTTAGAAGAGAAAAGGGACCTGAAATATTATTTTTTTAATGATGAAAAAATAAACCAGTTGAAAACAGGCATGTTGTCTATGGGAAAAGAAAAAAGGCTCATGACCTAGAAAGGAAGGGGTTCAAAAGCAAGGTGAAAGAAGGCAGAAGGGATCCTTTCAGGCCAAAATGGCTTTGATTCCTTTACACCTGATACATCCTTTTGAATCCGTAAATTTTGTAAGGAATTTAGCTGTCAAGGTCATCACATAACTGAGGAGAAAAATCTAGGCTGTGCTTGAGGAGTAGATGTAATTCTCCCTGGCACATATGCAGACATCTTGTCACTCCCCCATTACCCTGGGCTTGCTTTTGACCCAAAATGGCAGTTCTGACCCATTGGCAGTTCTGTGTGTTGGCACTGAATTTGATTAAAGAAGCACCAAACTTTCTTTTCTGAAAGGAGCTGAGAGGCAAGGAATGAGGAGTTAGGCATTTTCCTTTAAAGGTTGACTGAACCCATTAATTTGACCTAAGCTTTTGCATGCATCCTTAATTAATGAAACTGCTTTGGAAATTTGTGTTTTTTTTTTCCCCCCTAATGGAAAATGCCTTTAAGTGAAATTGACCAGCTCTGAAAAATAAATAAAAGCCAAAAAAAAATAAATAAAAAAAAACAAACAAAGAAAATAGGAGTGAGATGATGTAGAACTTACTGATTTCATCAAAACTATTATGACCAAATAAATGCAAACTTGGGTGACAACAAGTTGAATGTGAACCAGGATTATGACACTGTGATGATGAAGGTGAACCACATGCTGATATGAGGAGTGTCCAAGAAAATGAGGTTTGCCTAGCCTGCTTTAGCAAAGGCTCTAGGGCTCTGGGATCTAGTTGCTATCTGCTGCTACAGAAACAAAGAAAAAAAGTCAGATTCCCTTCAGGTGACAAGGGACAATGAAGGCAAGTTTCAGCAAGGAAAATTGTGACTGGATATTCAGAAACATATTTATTCCTGAGGGTGCTTCAGCATTTGAACAAGCCCAGAGAAGCTATGGAAACCCTCTCTCTTGACTCTGCAGGGCACGGCCCTGGGTGACCTGCTTTAATTGTGAAATCTGGCCTGCTTTGAGCAGGAGGCTGGAGTAGGTGACCTGTAGAGGTCACTTACTACACCAATTATTCAATTCAACTTCAATGGGAAAAAAAAAATTAAATGTAAAGGAAAGGTTGATTTTATGCATCTATGAAGTAAAGCAAAAAAGTTTAGAACTTTTTTTAACATCAAAGTAAAATGGAAATTTAATTTAAAAATTGTAACATAAAGTGTTTAAAAAAGTTTGAAAAAAGTTGTTATCATTTTTTTCAGGCTAATTTCTTAACACTTATGATTTATTTGCATCTTATTAATGCTTCTGCTGTTGTTATTTCAAAAAGAAAAAGCAAGAGAATATTACCAATTTTAATGGCAGTTATGTGGGATGCGGCAGTATTTATCAAAACAACAATAAAACTAAATCTCCTAAAATCCACATTTTGAAATAGAGGTCAGTATTTCAATATAACTCTAAGCAAGGTCCACATCAATTTATTCATGCATCTTTCCTTTGTGCACTTTAAATTACTGCAAGTTTCCTGAATTTATCACCCAACTTTCTCGATGTTCATGTTTATATTGGAATGCTGACCTCGTCAGCCTGATTTCTTGGCTTTTGCAAAACTTTGCCAGTGAGGAGATCACAATAGCCACTAAAAATCAAATATTTTAGGGAAATAACCACAGAAAATGGTTACAGTTAGGTGTTTACTTACAGTGAATTTTGAAGTCCTTGTACTGTCTGTCTTCAATTGCTACCACGTACAAAGCAGCTCGGTCTGGAAACATTAGCCCTCCAGGTTTCTGTTGATGAATTGTGGGGAAATGGATCTCGTAATCTATTCACCTGACAAAGACATCACATTTTGAACTGCACATACAAAAACCAGACAAGCAGACTTGCATGCCTTTATTCTTTTCCTTCAGATTGTCACATCAGCTTTAATCTCAGCAACTCTTGCAGCCCGTGGCAAGTCGTTGGATAGTGTCTATGTGAATTTCACCAGCAGTTACTCAAAAGCAAAGCTCTTTTACCGAGATCCCCTTTGATAATCTTTTTGTTAAAGCCTAAGAAATGGCACTTGGACATGTAACTGTGTCTCGTTACGGTGACAGTGGGAGAGGGAAGGCTTGAAGTCAGACAATAAATGATGATTGCTCCAGCAAGGAGTATGACATGCAGAGCACCTACCAGCCACTTGTCTCGTGCGAAGATGACTGTGTTTAACATTGACTCATAGAACAGACAGTAACCCATCCACTCGCTGATGATGATGTCTACTTTATCCACAGGTAATTCAACTTCTTCGACTTTACCTTTAAATATTGTGATTACTGAAAAAAGAATCCAAAGAAATACGTTTCACATAATAAAACACCTGACTAAGTTCCTTACTGGTGAATGTCAGGCTGATGTTTTCACTATGATTCTCTTCTTGAATGCCTCTAGATAAGGGGTGACTCCATGCAAGGCAATGGATTTTACACTACTTTAAAACAATTAATATAATAAACAGAAATTTTAGTATCAGTAAAAAAGAGGGAAAAAAAAACACAAAGAAAAGCAACAAACCAAATAAAACCCATATATAAAAACCAACAGAAAAACAGGCCTTACCTTGTTACCTGCATGATCTCATTTTACACACCCTTTGGAATTTGGAAGATTTCTAGATCATTGGCTAAGTTGTGTAAATTCACCTCAAATCCTTTAAACGTCTCTGTATGTTTACATGCACGTGATCTCATCACTGACATTTACGGACTCATTTATGGACTGGGATCTAATTCTCATCTGCTGAAAAGACATAGTGTGCTGGTTTCATAGTTGTGTAAATTCACCTCAAATCCTTTAAATGTGTCTGTATGTTTACATGCACATGATCTCATCACTGACATAACAGAGATTTATGGACTAGGATCTAATTCTCATCTGCTGAAAAGACCTAGTGTGCTGGTTTCACGATGAGGAAACTAAGGTTTATTTCTTCCATGAGTTCTGGGGAGCTGACTCACCTGAGAAAGTCCAATCTAGCCTGACAGGACACAAACAAGAAAGTGTGTACAAACATGGTTCCCTCACTAAATCATTTTTCATTCCTTTCTGCTTCACGATTGAATCTTTCACAACACTGGCACTCTCACCCTGAATCTTCTGTCTGGTTTAGACTCACATAACTTTTCACAGTTATCTAAAGTGAATGCTGGGAGACATTGCTGTCAGGTATTTTGTCAGCAGATTAGTTTCAAGGAAATTAAAAAGGCTGCTGTAAATTTGATGTAGTAGAATACCATATCTCAGAGACACTATTACAACACAGCTCACTATTACAGACAGACACTATTACAACACAGATGCTATTACTGCACAGTGCTGGCAGTACTGTATACTACTTGCAGGAGACTGGGTATGTACTGCAAAATAACAATAATTTTGTTTTAGGATCACTACACAATCCACTGATCATTCTTGGATTTTTTAAAATATATTTCCTATTTACAAATCTATTCTAATTTCTTTAGACAAATAATTTTCAGCTTGTGTTTGTCTGGTATTTATGTTGTTTGTTGCAATGGCTCTGGATTCTTCCTTGGCAAGATAACTGATTGAAAATTGGAATAAAGTGAGTTGGGAATATTGGAATAAAATGAGTAGGGAATATTTTACTTTCCATTACTAATTGTTAAGATTATTGTGTTACTCTTAATAAATGGTGTTTTTTAATTATGGCAATTTTTATTGATGAAAGTGGTCAACATTCAGTTTTAGGAAGATGAAGGTACTTTCACTTAACTAAAACTAAGTTAGCTGTTTAAGAGTGGAAGTGTGGGTTGAGTGATTTTTAGAACCCAGCCCAGGGAGAATGAGGTTTCATCCTTCCAAAATAACATGCACTAGTGGCATTACTCTAACCAGGTGTGGCCACTCTATTTGTGTAGCAAATTTTTAATCCAGACTGGCCCCTGAAGAAGCTGGGAACACTCTGGTTCAGACTGGTAACAGGAAGTATCAGCTGATAAGAGAAACCTGATTGAGAAAGAGCGAATTCTCTTCTCCTTCCTTGATTTAAACTCCCTGTCACGGTCAGTAGCTCAATAGTTCATCTGTCATTATACTGAAGACACTTCTTCAGGGTTCTCTTTAGTTCTCTTTTCTCCCGAGAACTTTCACTGCCACGATTCTTTTAAGGAGTTAATTTTAGTGCTGTTGACAGCTACCAGGGTGAAACACCTGCAGACTTTGAAGCCCTCTGTTCATCCCCAGAACAGTCACAGCGTTAGCAGCAGCACAAAGTCCTCCCACCTCCCTTCACTTTGATGGAACTTCTTCATAAGGCACTACGTGGGAACAGATTGTGCTGTCCCCAGGTGTATTGAATCTGCTCTGAAAACAGGGGGCTTTCTCTTGGTTCAGCCCCTTTTGCTGGCTCTGTATTTCTCTAAACAATTAGTGGGGAAAAGACACAATTTCTGTGAGCAACAAGATCCTTTGGCTCAGTACCTGGTTGCATTAAAATAAAAGTGAATGTGGGTCGGTGTAGAGTGTGTAACTGTAAATGTTAGTTCAGTTGTGTGTTTTGTTTATATTGGAGAGCAAACTGCAGTCTGACAGGCTGCAGTCCAGGCAAGTCTCCTGCCAAAAAGGGGAAGGGTCTCTGCTTCTTCCTCCACATTTTTTTCCCAAGGACTAGCTCCCTGCAGAAACAGGAGGAAGAAGCAGAGATAAAAACCTTCTGCAACCCCTGGTGCACACTGGATCCTTCTTATTTATTCTGACAACGGTCCCTTCACACACAGTTCCCATTGCTGGAAATCTAAATGTGAATTGATTTATGGTCTTCTGTCTGTGTATCTCTTTGATGAAAGGCCATTCTGGGAACATATGGGCTCTGCACCAAGGGTGAGATCCAACACCTCGTTATTTTAGTGCCTCATTGCTACTGCGGAGGAGAGTATTTTCTGGTCCTTCGCTTCCTTCTTTTTCTGAACCAAAAGTTGCGTAACTGGCTGGCCTCATATCCCACATCCCTGCTATTTCTTTCACACCACACAACTTGAATATACATGCTGTTCAATACATTCTCCTCCCAAACAGCTCCGCGTTAGTCAGAAGCTGCCAGTGACAGCAATAAAAAATTAGAGCAGATCTATACCAGAAGAGGAATCTATCCCACAGCAGGGCAGACAGGGCTGAGAAGGGGAAGGGCAAATGATGAAGTCCAGCCAGCTCTGACCTCTGCCACTCTGCAGCAAAGGCAAGCCCTTCGCAAAGGGCACTTCTAAACAATAGCTGTGGCACAGCCTCGGTTAAAAAAAGCCCGTTTTTTCAGGTTGTTACAAAGATATCTTGTGTGCAGTGCTTTGGAGGAGGACTGAAGACATTAAATAGAGCTGGTGGGAGATTTTTGTTAAGAGTTTGCAGTAGGTTAGGGGTATTTTTAGTATTTTTTTTTTTTTAAATGAAGTTTTCTATCATGCTTTTATTCTGAGAATTGGACATTTTAATTTGTGCCACGTGTTTCAATCTGATTTCTTAAAATTAGTATTTCTAAAGTTGGAAGTCAGAAGAAATTCAGTGAAAAATCTGTATTGGTATGGAATACTTTTTGCTTTGTACCTTATTTCAATTTGAATGTAAGTGCATGTGTGTGTGTGATGATTCTATTTAAGAGATAAAGTAGAATTCAGAATTAATTAGAAAAGTTCGGCTCTAGTATGGGGCCTCCTGTCTGCTTTGCTAAATCAAACTGCTTGCTGATGAGCCCTTCTGTTGTCTGTGAGCCTAGAATTAAATGTAGAGGTAACTTCTCCTATGAAGAACTGTTGTAGTGCCTAGAATTAGATGTTTAGATTTGTATTTACATAAGTACATTATGCAAAGCTACCATTTACATACAAACCATGCAACATAAATTAATCAGAAAAAGCGAAAACAGTTATCTTCTCTTTCTCCTGAAGAAAGTTTTATATATGCCTTACTATTGTCCAAGTGATTGGCCTTGATAATTTTTTCTGAGTAGTCAGATATACTTGAGCATTCGATCTAGGAAAAAAAAAAAAAAGAAAAAAAGAAAAGCAAGAGGAAGAGTAATTATGTTAGAGATCTCAGCTATACAAATAAAACTAAAATCTACTGAATACAGCAGACACTACAGAGCATGTAACCATTGATAAAGAGTAAATCAAACCTGTGTGGGGCAGGATTATGATCAATGATATCTTAATATTTAAACTGCAGTTTGTTTTTGAGTTAAACTGGCTCACACAGAAAAGATTGTTTTTAAAACCATTGAGATATGGGAAAAAGAGGCCCTAGCTACAAAATTACGTAATTTATTAATCATATTATTTAATTTAGTCCTCCTGCTTTAGAATATTGTGTCCTCCCCCCAAAAAAAATCTGCTGAAGGGAATGAATTAGCAGGGTGCTACATTTCCTCACATATTCTAAAACAAAATACATTCAAACTTTGTGAATAATGTTAAAATGCAAACTATGCCAATACTAGTCTGTGTCAAGAAGCAATTGCTTTTCTTCATGAAAAATCTATCACCTTTGGCAATGCATGCTATCAAAAAAGTATACAGACATTTTGCATATAAAAAAGGACTGAAATTATTGTATTTACAAAGCCATCCAGATCTGCATGTCTTTTCTTATGCTTTTGCTAGGAAAGGAATTACAAAGTAACTTCTAGTTTTAGATTTACCCTTAAATTTCTTAAAATCTGAGTTCTAGCATAAAGCCCATGTTTGCAATGATCTTTGATATCTTTTAGAGAAATACGGCGTTCCATTAACATCTCTGACTTTTAGGCCCTTTTAAAATCATGAAGGCCAAAATTGCTGGTGGTCACCTAATCTGTTCGTAATTTACCTCTTCCACATTTGACATTAAGCTGCTGATAATACTTTGTGTAATCCTTGTCTCTCTAAAACCCTATAGGGATGTCAAATAGAATTATATTTTCTCTTGTGAGGTGTTGGTGAGGAGTGATGTGTCCAGTGAATTCCATTTAACCTCTAAAAGCCAAACTGTGCTTGACCTCTGTGATGGCAGGACAGTGAATGGAAGGACACACAAATCCCTTATTCTTTTTATGTAGTCCATGAAAGAGCTAGACATAATAGTAGCTATAGTGTCAATCCCTGTCCCCACGGGAACATGAGCATTAATTCTACACTCCTTAAGATGTCTGACTCAATGGCCTGAACATAAACCAAAACTGGCACGTAGGAAGCAACACCAGAGTGCCACTCCAGAGAGTCCAAGAAAGAAATCCCTTGGTGAGAACTCTGTCCTTTTTCTCCATCCAGCTTCTTCTACCTTTACTATAAACTGTATAGACTATATGCCTTATCTATACTTACAGCCATTATAACATACTCAGTTTTCCTGTCTGTATTCACATCTGTCTGGCATTTTCAATTCCATTGTCCATTCTTTCTGCTTGTTTTGGATGATTTTTAAATAAAGCATGCGTATGTAGGTGTTTGGAGGTGACTTTCCAACCTTTCTAAAGAAAAAGATGCAAAGAAATAAAAAGTTCTATTTCGTGAATGACTACAAGTTTCCAAAAATCAGCTTCATTCTCAAAGAAGCAAAATAAAAAAAAAACAACACTCAAATGTTCTAGGAAGGAAGATATATTTCAGAAAATGAACTTGCCTTAGGGTGCCTAATGCTGTTCGCCTCTATTTTGACTTGGACTCTATACTGTGGTAAAATTTTATTTTAAAAAGCAACTCATTTCAGAAAAAGAAAATGCTGAATTCTGTAGGTGAAGGAATAGGAAAAACAGCATTGTCAGGTTTTTTCCTCAGTTCACTTTCAAGTCAGTGATCTGCTCAAATCTGTCCAATTTTACAAAGCATTTGGATTTTACAAGAACTGTGTGTTCCAATGAAATAGGTCCATACCTCAGTTTACAGGCATCGAATCATAGAATGGTTTAGGTTGGAAGGGAATTTCAAAGATCATCTAGTCCAACCCCCATGCCACGGGCAGTGCCATCTTTCCACTAGATCAGGTTGCTCAAAGCTCCGTCCAACCTGAGCTTGAACTCTTCCAATGATGGAGCATACGCAACTTCTCTGGGCAACCTGTTCCACTGTCTCACCACTGTCGTTGTAAGAAATTTCTTCCTTATATCCAATCCAAATCTACCCTCTTTCAGTTTAAAACCACTGTCCTTTGTTCTATCACAACAGGTCCTAGTAAAAACTTTTTCTCCACCTTTCTTATAAGCCCCCTTTATATTTTGAAAGGCTGCAACAAGGCTTCCCCAGAGTCTTCTGTTCTCTAAATTCAACAACCTTAACTCTCTCAGCATTTCTTCTTAGGAGAGGTGTTCCATCCCTCTGGTCATTTTTGTGGCCCTCCTCCAGACCTGCTCGAACATGTCTTTCCTGTACTGGGGACCCCAGAGATGGATGCAGTACTCCAGGTAGGATCTCACCAGAGCAGAGTAGAGAGAATCACCTTTCTCAGCCTGCTGGTCACACATCTTTTTATGTAGTTCAGGATACAATTGGCTTTCTGACCTGTAAGCACACTCATATCCAATTTTCCATCTGCCAGTATTCCCAAGTCCTCCTCTGCAGGGCTGCTCTCAATCAAGTCGTCACCCAGCCTGTACTGACATTGGGGGTTGCCCTGATTCAAGTGCAGGACCTTGCACTTGGCCTTGTTGAACTTCAAGAGGTTCAAACTGGTCCAATTCCCAAGCCTGTCAAGGTCCCTCTGGATGGCATCCTTTCCCTCAGATATATCAATGGCACCACTCAGCTTTCTGTAATCTGCAACCTTGCCAAGGGTGAGTCTCTACTTTCAGTTTACTTCTCAGTCTTCATTCTAATGCTGCAAACATCTCCTCTTTTACTAGGTTCTTTTTCTGAAACAGCCGCCACATTCCCAGATTTCCTTTTCCCCTGGACTATGTCCTCATCACCACCTTTTTATGCAAATCACATAACACCTTCATTTTATGTGTCTGTTTAACTCCTTATAACCTGCATTATCTTGTTTGTCTGAAAATATGATAGAATTCAGATAGTTCTACTGCAAGGATTGTCCTGAATTTTGTATGACTAAATGCAGCAGATGAACCAAGGTTTCAAGGGATAATTGAATTTAGTTGTCCATCCATTACTCACCCCTCCCAAGCACCAACAGTCACATGCCAGTCCTATCTCTACGTGCCTTACAACAGCTCCACAGTTGGATGAACATCATTGCATGATCTACTGCTATCGTCCCATGATGGTTAGGGGTCAGAGGACATGAAGAAAGAAGAAAAGCTGAGGGGGCTGCTTCTGTTCAGCTTGTAGAAGCACCCCCCCGCCCAAGTCCAATAGCCATCTTCAAAAGTGCTTGCATTGAAAACAAAATCAAACTCTTCTCTAATGTGCACAGTGACAGGACAAAAGGCAGTAAGCATGAGCTGTGGAAATTGAAATTCCTGCTGATTGTAGCACTGGAATAGCTGCTGAGAGAGAGAAAAGCTGAGGGGGCTGCTTCTGTTCAGCTTGTAGAAGCACCCCCCCGCCCAAGTCCAATAGCCATCTTCAAAAGTGCTTGCATTGAAAACAAAATCAAACTCTTCTCTAATGTGCACAGTGACAGGACAAAAGGCAGTAAGCATGAGCTGTGGAAATTGAAATTCCTGCTGATTGTAGCACTGGAATAGCTGCTGAGCTGCTGATTTAGTCTCCACCCTTGGAGATTTTCCAAATTGGACTGGACAAGTCCCTGAGCAACCTGATAGAGGTTTAAACTTAAGTCTGCTTTGAGCAGGAGGTTGGATTAGATACTTCCAGAGGTCTTCTAAACTAAATCTTTCTATGCATCAGTGATTCTATGATTTACAACTCTCAAAGACCCAATGATGATTCTAGCAGTTGGCTGAGATAGTGCAAATAATAAGTTCCAACAGTGAGTAAGAGAGGATAAGAAGAACCAGATAGGTTAGTGGATGAATTTGAACCTGAAGAAGGGAAAGAGTGAGAAAGAAGAGAGTGATTTCAGCAGCACTGTAGTCAGATAACCAACACTACGCATTTGTCAACATTTCCCACTATGCTATTTGAAAAGTCACATCTAACTGTAGAGAAGAAACTGGAACATCTCAACTCTACGTAATAACTCATGGCAAATGTTTGCTTTTTAAAAGGAATACTCACAGTTTCCATTGGCATTCTTTGCCAACGGGACCATAAAGTCTGAATTTGACTGTAAGATTGCCACTGCCAGATCTCTGAAATATCTGCTTTTGCAACATAAATACAACTCTGCAGCTCGCTGTGTGACAGGGTTCATGGTCTGACAAGAAGGTTGAAACTATTAGGCTGTAGCAGAGGAGTTTTACATTTAAGTGAGTTCCTTTGAGACCTAAGTTTCCTGGATAGCACACCCTTCAGCTTCAGCACAAGTGAGCTGATACTGGTGTGACACTGATCTTTATAAATGCCTGAGGTACAGCCTGAACTGTAAAGAAGTCCAAAGCAAAAAAAAAACCAAAAAAACCAACTAACAACCAACAAACCCGTGGAAAATATTTACTTTTCTTTAACTGGGTGAATTTTCTGTCAGTGAGCTGGCTCACTGTAGAATCAGATAAGCACCAGTGCCAGCACAAGGGAGGGGGGAAGACCATATGGCCAGGGATCTGGGCGACAGGAAGGTGGGAGCACAGCGTCATGATTTTGTGTATGCTTATATGGCACTGCAACATTCTTGTGTGAGACCTGCATTCCTGCATCAGAGAAGGCTACAGGTTTGTTCTCCCCGAGGCTTTGAGACAATAAATTTTGTACTTGGTTTACAAGAAATATATTCTAGCCACCAATTCTGTATATTGTCTCATGCTTACACGCCAAAACTTTTGCTAGCACCTTCTGATTTCAGCTATCTATACTTCCATACATCTGATACTCAGATGAGGCACTCAGAATTAACATTGGATTTTTGAAATATAAGCCTGAGAATTGAGAAGGAGTTCTTGCATTTCATGTATCATTACATTTATCAGTAATAAAGATGCACAGTTTAGACACTCAGTGACATCAGTGTCTTCAAATGCACAGATGTAGCCAACTAAGTTTTCTTAAACAATTTTGTCAAAGAGGTACACAGAGAAATAGAATCTGGTTCCTCTTTTCTATGTTGTTTTGTATCTGCAGAGCAAACAGAGGTCCAAAGCAAAAAAATAATTGTATTCATCATTTTAGAGTCAGTACCAATAACTGAATACACTTAGTAAGCAAATCTACGCTCGCTCTAATGACTTCTCTGCAGAGAACTGCACATTCGTGCTCCCAGAGTTCAATGTATTTAAGGTAATCATTCCCTTCTGCCTCTGAAAAGTGTTATTGTTGGCACAGAAAACACGCACATGCTTGCTTGCATAATTCTGAGTTGTAACATACCGGGAAAAGTGTATTAAAGAAATTTGTTTCCAAGACTACAAAGTTGCAGAACTTAAGAATTTAAAAAAGGAAGATAGTTCCTTTGACTCCTCTGAGTAGGAGTTAGTCCCTTTAACATTTTTTGCAGCCAAGAAGAAATGTGGGTATGTACCAGACCACAAAACATTCCACATAAGAAAAGACATTATATCTCGATTTGGAAAAGGCACAGTAATGCAGGTCATACAAAGCAACAGAACTCCACTGAAGTCACTGTAAATCAAGCCATACAAGAGCTTGGAGAGAAGAATTTCCAAGAAAGACAAGTAAGAAAAGGTAAATCATTAAGAAAAAAAATGCACAAACTCAAAATAAGAGAGAAAGTCTTCTTACCCCATATACCTTCTTGGCACCGGCCTTTGCAGCAAACATGGAGAGGATTCCCGTGCCACTTCCAACATCAAGGACAATCTTATCTTTAAAAACATGTTTATTGTGATACATTGAGTTTCTATAGGTTAATGTGCGCACTTCATCCTTTAACATTTCCTGTGATGAAAAAAAAAACACATTATGTTATTATTTGAAGTGCTTATATGCATTCAACTCTGCCATTGAATGCACTCCCTTATTGCAATTTAAGCATTACTAACACATAATCTGAAGAGTTTTTCAAGTACTTTAGGGTGCATGCATCAAAACAACTGTAAAACTCTAGCTATTTAGAAATGAATTCTTAAGAAAAAGCATGATGTCCTTTGTACAATTTATTTCCATAAATATTACTTCACTGTTACAATTGGCAACCAGAATGAAATCTGGCTGCAGTAGTGCTTTGGGCATAGAGCGAAGCCATACAGAAATCCAAGTTTTCCTTCTCTTTCACAACTTAGAACCTCAGCAGAGCGACTTTCTGAGGTTACTCTGAAGGCAAAAGCAATCATTCCATAAACCATTATAAGACAGCAGTCTTGATAGCCTTGTCCAAAGTGATGCAGAAAGCCCATAGCTGAGTTTAGAAATACTGTGCTGGATGGTACTCCCTTACTGCTTTTCTGTTCACCCATCTATATGACCAATTTCCAGAAGATATTAATGTATAACATAGGCCACTATCTCTCCATTTTAAGTTGTCATTGTTGGGTGGCAATTTTTGCTTCATTGATAACAGCAGTACATGTGTTTCATTCCTTTAACACCTTGCTCTCAAGTGTGCATTTATCAGTCAAACTATATCAATAAAGAGCACTGAGGTCAAGATCCAAGTCCCATTTTTAAGAGCAGTGTAGGCAATTCGATACACACTTTAATTGTCTCAAAATGCTTCTGCTAGGTCTAGCAGGCTGAACTTTTGCTTCTACTACTGGCACCATTTCATATTTCAAGCAGGTAGGCAAATGAGTTTTTGAATTTAAGGATAAAAAGCATCAGTTCCCTGCCAGCAGTCTGAAGCACCAATGCACTGAATTGTTACATATATCAGGTGCTCACTTACCTCTTTTGGCAAAAGACTATATATACTTAATAACTGTAGTTGAATAAAAGAGTATTTTTATCATCAGAAAGCATGGTTTGGTTTCAGGCAAAGAAAGAGGCAGAGGAAGAGTTCAACAAGACTGGAAAGGTGATGGAGCACACCCTCATGGAAACTGTTTCCAAACATAATAAGGACAAGAAGGTGATCTGGAGCGTTCAGCATGGATTTGGAGATGACTAACCACTGATAGCTTTCTAAGGTGAAATAACAGGCTCTGTGGACAAGGAAAGAGGGGTGAATGCTTGTTTATCTTGATTTTAGCAAGACTTTCAACAGTGTTTCTTATAGCATCCTCGTTGGAAAACTACGGAATATCGAGTACATAAATGGACTGAAAACTGACTGAACTTCTGCTCTCACAATGTTGTGATCAGCGGCACAAAGTCCACCTGAAGGCCAGTAACTAGTGGTGTCCTCCAGGAGTCAATACTGGCCCCCATTCTGTTTGATGATTTCAGTAATAATAATGTGGATGATGCAACAGAGTGCAATCTCAGCAAGTGTGCTGTCCCAGAAAACTGGGAGTGGCTGATTCACCAAATGGTTGTGCTTCAAATCAGAGGGACCTCAACAAGCTGAAGAAAGAACTGACAGGAATGTCCAGAAAGTCAACAAAGGGAAATGCAAAATCTTGCATATGGGGAGGAATAACCTCAGGCACTAGTACAGGCTGAAGACTGGCTGTCTGGAAAGCAGTGTTTGCTGAGAATGACCATGGGACCCTGGTGGACAGCAGTTTGAACATGAGCCAGCACAATGTGCCCTTGCAGCACTTTGGGCTGCACTAAAAAAAGCATCATCATCAGGTCAAGAGAGGTGGTTCAACGCTGGTGAGACCAAGTTTGGGGGCCTGAGTCCAGTTCTAGGTTCCCCAGACAAGAAATGTTAGAGCAGATCCAGAGAAGAGGCCCAAGAACATGACTAAGGGATTGGAGCATCTGATGTATGAGGAGAGATTGAGAGAGCTAGGATTGCTAGCCGGAGAGACAGGATCCTATCAATGTGTTTAAATATCTGTTCAGTGGGGGAGAAAATAAGGCAGAAATAGACTCTTCTCAGTGGTAACTAATTATAGAACAAGAGGCATAAATGACATGAACAGTTTTTTCAAAGCCTTGTCCAATCAGGTTTTAAATATGTCCAAGGATGGAGGCTCTATAGGAAGCATTTTACTAACCTCCCAATAAAGAATATTTTTTCCAATTAAGTTTGTGTCCTTGACATCAACCACCTCCTTCAGCCCTGGTGGAGACAGCCCATCGGGTCTCATAGACTTATGTGTGTCTGGTTTGTTTAAGTGATCCTTCTCTGTTGAGGGAAAGTCTTTCTCACTCTGGACTTTGCCACTCATCTTAGTGACCTGGGATTCCTGAAGGTAAGTCTTGCCAACAAAATCAGCACTGAAGAAATAATTTTCCACGTATAACCCGCCTCATTCAGCAACAGTCCCACCTTTTCTCCAGTTTTTATTTTACTATTAATACACCTAGAGGAGCCCTGCTTTGTTACCATTCCCATCCCTTGCCAGATTCATGTCCTGTCCCTTGCAGGAGCAAGACTTCCACTACTGTCACTTGTCACTTCTGCATGGCTCAGGGCCAATTGGTTCTGATGCTTCACTGGACAGAACTTCTTGCCCCTCATCCACAATGAAGGCACTGAATCTGTTCTGTAGCCAGAGATCTGCAGGTGGATCAGGAGCCTTCCTCCTGGTGCCAGAGTCACAAATCTCCAGCCTTCACCAACAGAGAAGTCTCCACTCCCAAACCTGGTAAGTAGAGATTATGACTGCCCCTCCTTTCAGTACAATTGGGGATTTAGGCTCTTGTACCTTCTGAATCTTGGAGAAGATCCAGTCAGCCTCTTCCTCAGGTCGCTGATGCTGCAAAGTCTGCCAACCTCCTCTAGCAACCTCCCACTTCCCAGTCTCCCTGCACTCCCTGAGACCTACAAAGCTGCATTCTTCTGTCAGAAGCTCAATCTGATTTGAGGTCTCTAATGTGTCTTCCATATTTCTCTTAGGTCTCCTTCCCGCTCAATTGTTCATCTATCTTCTTCCATTCTTGGTCTAAATTTCTGAATGCTACACTGGGAAGATGTAATTGGCAGATGGAAATCTTCTGTTTATGCATATGTCCCACAAACAACTACTAGAGTAATGGAAATAGATATCGTTTGTTATGCGGTTTGTGAAAAGCACCGCTGATTTCACATTGTTGGCCTTTTTGCATCCTAGTCTTTCAAATCCCATCCTCTTGGGTTACATAAATGTAAGATATTAGTGTCTTTTTTAGAATTGGTCTAAAGTCAACTTTTTGATAGCAAATATGGTCCACTGTGTATTTTGATTCATTCTAGGAGTGTATTTGCTGGAGGCTATTGGGCTATATGTTCCCATTAAAGCAGCCTGTGCATTCAAGGAACATGCCAGGAGTCAAGAAATTACTGGGTTTTTCCATGTCAGTTGGGTACCTGTTCTGCTGGCATCTGTACTCAAATACGCAAGAAGAAAACACCTAACTTGGCAATAGGGTGGTCTCCACATGTGGTTGGGTTAGTTTGCAGCCCTCATAAACGCACTAAATGGATGCACGCATTTGAAGATCACCACTGTACAGATAGCTAATATCAGCTCTGTGGGGAACTCATATACATAAGGATCTAACTGGGACAGAGGTTTTGAGTACAGGTCTCTAGAGAAGTGAGTGATATCTTTGGCACTTAACCAGATTACACAATCTTCTGAGGAAAAGCAGAGGAATATAATCATGTGCAAGTGGGAGGGGAATAACTAGCTAATAAATCAAACAAAACATGATGATGATGAAATAATTGAAGAAATAAAAATAAATGTTACCTCATGAATTCCAAAGTGAGCATAGGAATCAAAGTAATAATCCCTGGATGTCATCTCTTCTGGATTGATGAGCTTTGCCATCTTGCCTCGGCCTGGGCAGCTTGGTTGCAATGGGACATGTATAACAGATTGAACTGGCTTTGGAACAACAGTAGGCTGAGGAGGCTGGGATGGGATGGGGCAAACCTAGGAAGACACAGAATATTAAGAGGCATCATTAAAAGAAAACATTTCTCTTGATGTCAGCATAGGGATATTACTGTAAATAGCCAGGAGATAGTAAGACCAAAGACAACTTGGGTATCATAACTGAAATTTAGGCTGCCTTCTGTTCCTGACTTTTTAACTTCTTGGCTCTGCCTTGGAAAATTTCCTTAATGGCTTTTTCTTTGATGTTCCTCTGCAGATACCTACATCAGTGCAAAGTAATGCCAAATTATTGGTGTTGGCTAAAGTAGGTGACTCCAAACATTGACACGAGGCAGTTAAGAGCTAGGTTTTCTCCTTTAATGTCTTATTCTGTCGAACTGCCACAGCTTTGTGAGAGGTAAGTTGTAATAAATAAATAGCTCCCCTGCAAAGAAGAGGTCATAATCAAAGGATTTTGAACACAGTGTTGCCGACAAGAAGGACGGGATTCACAATTGATTCTTAATTGTCAGGTAAGGCATCTGCCTGTATTGATGAGGTAGGTCTGAGAATGTTCACAATACCTTAAAGTCTCTGACATTGTCTGAAAGACTCTATGGAATATGTGATCCCTTAATTTAGTTTCCAATTTTTGGGAGATGTAGGTGTTACCAACACCCCTAGTCCGTTTGACTTCATTTTTCCTTGCATATTGCATCTCCAACAACAAAATTTCAATAAATCCAGAATGCTCACAACATCTAGACTCAGATTTGAGACCTGTAGCATCTAAGACAGAAGACAGAATGTTTCATGAACATGAGACACACATGATGGTCTTGCCCATAGGTACCTGTATATCTTTCATCCTTAACATGAAGCAAACTGCTGAAAGCTGAGAAGGACTGAGCAAGATGCTACAGCTTCACATGTGCATTAAGTCACCTGCAAATTATGGGTCAACAACTTCATATATTAAGAGAGTCAATCCTACTTAAAATACATCCCCTCCGCTTACACTTTTAAAAAAATTTTCAGATTTAGTAGATTCACAGTGGGAACCAGATATGCCTGAATGTCTCCTAGGTACTTTCATAAAGTCGACTCTATCTTCTATAGCTTGATACTGCCAGACATCAGTCCCTTGTACTGTCTCTGAATAGCATCAATTAGCCTAGTTTAGTTCACTTCAATATAAAAAAAGAAAAGTCCACACCTTTTTCTCACTTGTTTATTAGAAGATTTAAATGTGTCATCTTCTGATGGTTTCTTTGGTCCATCTGTGAAAAATGAATACTAGTGGTTTATGTTCCTGTAACACCTTTGTCCCCAATTTGGTCCATCTGTGAAAAATGAATACTAGTAGTTTATGTTCCTCTAACATTTTGTCCCCACAGATCCAGAAGTGCTTTATTTATAGTTTTTTTCTGTTTCTGATGGTTTTGACTTTATCACCTCACCCAGTTCACCTCTCACTCAGAATACAATTGTTCCCAACTGGTATTTGTATTTCTGTCCTGTCTGACTTTATCACCTCACCCAGTTCACCTCTCAGAATACAAATACCAATTGGGAACAATTGTATTTCTGTCCTGTTTAGTTTTAAAATGTCCATCTGCAGTCATTTCTCTTAAGAGACTATTTCATTGCAAGCAACACCTTGACAGCTCATCCTGTCAAGGTGTTGCTTGTAATACCCAACCCTTCCCAATTTAATCTTGATATTTTTAATCACATATTTGAGGTCATATCCTAGGACTTTTCTCCACGGGTATACACACTATCAAATTTTTGCAGTTGACTTGCCCTGTAGTCCCTTCTGTATTTGTCTGCTGGGTTACAAAGACTTAAATTGTAGATATTCAGAATTTTGCTTTAATTTAATACAAACTCTCGAAGGTCTTACACTTTTCTCCTAAATCTTGTCTCCACATGATTTTACAAGTGAAATATGTAAATATAAAAGTCACTGAACTCTTCATTCTGTTCCTGTCTTAGGTAAGAAGGTCTCCAGATACAAGATAATACATCACAGGCAATTGCTCAAAAGCTACCTACTGGAGAGAAGCCCTGACAGTTTTTGTAAATGAAACCAAAGGGATATTAGCATTTCAACTGATATCAAAATACAAATTCAAATGTGTTTTGCTGTAAAATAGAAAGCATTTTCTACAAGAAAAGAGACTAGTCTTGAAGAAGAACCTTCTGTCTGGGTCTCAAGCAGTATCAGTTCTGCTCCTGGCTGCATGGAATTTGTCTAGACAGGGTTATGAGAAAAAGAGTTATTCTAACTAAAGATACAGAATGAAACTAAATTCAGCAACTCAGGCTAGGAAAGTTGTCTGAATGATTTTGTGTGATGTAAAGGAATTAACTTTGTTACCTCACAGTCTGCAAGAGAGCTGAAGTCTGCTACAGCCAAGGAGTGGCAAGATAACTTTTATTAAGCTATCGAGGCACTATTAGACCTTTGACTCACAGTACTTTCCAGGTTTATCTAAAGTACCTGATGGTGTACTGCTCTTAACTGTCCATCTACATATCTGCCAGTACATATCCCATGTAGTAGAAGAAGCAGAAGCCCATTAGGTCTGCTTCTCAGCTGCCTTAGTTTGTAGCCAAGAAGCCCGTGGTAAAATGTGTTGATGGTGGTTGTGTGACAATGCTAGGCTGTGAATACCATTAGGTCTTGCACTGTCCATCCAGTGCTATGGGTATCATAGCCTCATGCAGAAGGGGTAACAGAAAATCATATAGGGGTGGTGATCTTCTCAGCCAGCAGCACTCTGTCACAGGAACCTTAAATCAGCTCCTTCATTTCCGTTTAAGGAATATTAACATAACAGAGACCTTTCAAATTAAAATGATATCATTTTTTGCAGCATCTGTAATACCCACTGCTGTAATTCCTGTATGTAGCACTGTAATTCTGAATCTCCAAGGCAAGGTCACAATTACAATAATAATTTTGTGAGCAGGGCTCAGGTAATCCCTCTGTCATAGATCTGCTGTAGACACTTTGAACAATTTCAGTCAGGAGTAACTCATGTCATATGACAACAAACACCTGGGGAAAACATGAACACAGTGGACAATTACAAAATAAAGAAATGTAATGAAAGCTATCATTTGTATCAGAAATAATAAAGTCTTCAGATATACAGATCTGCACCTGCCAAACCAGAAACAACTAAGCTTTTAGGGATATGGTATGACTACTTTAGGAGAAAACATGCCTCCAAGAGAAAAGCTATCATGGAAAGATAGCTTCCTGTATTCTTTCCAGAACTGAAAGGAATCCTTGATATGATTTACAAGTTTAGCACATATATACCATACCTGCCAGAAAAAACCCCTCATCTTCTCAATAACTCCTGAAAAGGGAGAGCATGTCGGGGTAAACTTCACATCAATGAAAAGAATCTAACAAAATCTGTCTGAATGAGCCATGTTTGTTACAAGTACAGATTCCAGGCTAGCTGCACATAGTTCCAGGACACTGGAACAGGACACTGCCGTTCTGTACCACTGTATTTTTTAAATCAAAAGAAATTAAGGAATATCTTCCCTCCTACTTTTAAAAATGAAATAAAGTTTCTTTCCTCTTTCTTTGTAGACAAGGTTGGTAGATTACAGATACATCAAAGGTATTAGCTCAGGACCACTTTTTAAAAAGCTTTGAATTCTTACAAAAGGCAAGATTCATAACCCTTATTCATTTTTCAAAATCTCACATCTGAACATCTTGATGTAAGTTTCTAAAACACATCTAGGTACTTCAGTGGTGGATGTTACTTTCAGAAATGTGGAGTTGCCCACATGCATCAATGGAAACTGTTGAAATTTTTCTTTCTTGACAACTGGATATAAGTCAATGTGGATATGAGGCTATCTGGATGCACAATTCCCATAATACAAAAGAGAACTGGGTATTCAAAGTTATAGGCTATTTTGAAAATGTGAGCCTCTTAGATATATCCATCCACCTACAGAGAGGCAAGGTGGTGAAATAAGCCTAACTCATTTTTTTAGAAGGCTCGTGACAAAAGCTAAGGTCTAGAGTAAAAATAAACTTGCATTTCAGTGTACATTTCTTGATATTACTATGGAGACACAGGGCTGAAGGTTAAAATTGCAATCCTTGTAAAAGTGCTGTTCAAGCTGTAGTGCTTTATCCTTGGCTAATTCTTAGGTATTTATGAAATTTTTATGGCATTGAAGAGGTTAGCTATAGCTTCCATCTGGAAATCCTTAACAAACTACACACATTAAGAATGGGATTATCATATATCTATTTCACAGAATTCACAGAATCTCAGTGGTTGGAAGGGACCTCTGAGATCATCAAGTCCAACCACACAGAAAAAACAAAAAAAAAACCCCAACCAAACAAAAAACAAACAAACACACCCCCCCAAAAAAACCTTATCCCCTTCCCCCTTAACTTCTGTGTTAAAGCTCTGTCCGTGTCCTGGCTTGGTACCCTTTTCCCCTTCTAGGAAAGGGTTTTCCCATTGTTCTCTAGCAGGAATTTCTAAACGTCTGTCACTTTTCTCAGATGAAATGACAGAGTGAGAGTCCTCGCTAATGAAGCATCCTTCAAGCCCTGACATGCTTTCCTTAGGTTAAACCTTGACAGGCCCAGTTATCTCCCCTTCCCCCCTCATATCTGGTTTAAAGACCTGTCAATGAGCCCTGCTAACTCGTGCCCCAATATTCTTTTCCCCCTCTGGGACAGGTGTGTCCCACCTGCCACCAGTAGGCCAGGTGTCTCATGTAGCCGCCTATGTTGGAAAAAACCAAAGCCCTGCCTGTAACACCAGTCTCAAGCTACAAGTTGATCTGTTGCCTCTTTCTATCAGTTTCCTTATTCATGGTTGCCACTGGCGGGATAGAAGAGAAGACAACTTGTGTTCCCAATCCCTTGAGCAGCTGCCCCAAGGCTCTAAAATCTCTTTTAATTGATTTTGGCCTCCTCTCACCCATTTCATCACTACCCACCTGAAATATTAACAGGGGGTAATAATCACAGGGGCTTACTGAGTCTGGGAGTTTGT